TGAGCCATTCGGCTGATAATTGGTAAGAGTTTGCGATCTTATAATGTATAACTGTTACTCAGACACATATTTTGACACGATTCTGTTGGAAATAAGCTTTGAACCGAGAGATATTCACGATTGATATGCACATTTTTGATTGTGGCATTGCTTTTCCATTGCACAATCCATGTATTGATAGAAGAAACATTAATAATGCAGATTGGTTTACCTTCAATACATGGCAGACACTACATATCGGTCTATTAATACCAGTTTGTGCCTTAAATAGTTTTATATTTCCATCCACGGCCTGGAGCCTGGGTGTGTTTGTCTCTTATGTGTATGCTTGTGCATGGACTTCTAATCACTAGCAGAATTTAACATAATGCAAACTCGACATTATAACTCATGCTGTAACATTTTGACTTCGCTGGAAAACAATAGGAATTATTTTTCTTGCCAATCAATCATGAACCACAATCAAAATTTCAGAATGAGCAATCAGGCAATGATCCAAATCAAGTTATAACATTATATGATATTCAGCAAGAAGTCCGGTAGAAATACAGAATATTTAAACATCAAAGCTGAAAGTTAAAAGCTAATCTGTCAATTTTCTGTCTGCAAAAGAGCGTTTACATTTGACACAATAACAGACTGAGGCTTTGAAATCTAGGATTCCCCAGGAAAATATGACGTCATACTAATTAGCATAAGGATTTCCCTATTGGTTTGGGTCGAGCCTTGTTCGAAAACACAATCCATAAATACATGCTAATTTCTAAGGAGATAGGAAGTGTATAACGTGTTTATCGATTTTGTTTAAATATTTAATCAATTATCAAATTGTTTAAGTGGATAAAGTGGTCACACTTGCTTCAATTCATAGCGAAATCGACGGATAGAAACTGACCGAATTCCCGATATCCTACCCCGTATTACTGTAGGCTATAAGCACTGTGACCTACAGAGGGCGCTATCATAAACAAGTACTGCACGAACCGATAAATTCCCGGGTATTGTAACGCCCTTGGTTGGACCTATGCTCGCGGTCGTTGAGTTATTTATTCCCCAGGAATTGTAGAAATGTTAATAATTTGAGCTATTTTGTGAGATTTAATTATCTTTAAAATTGAACCTTTCAATGACTGTATCATGTTCCACGTACTTGGGGAGGTATGAGGTAGGAGGTTTTTTATACAAAGCCCTTCCAGTATGAACTGCATATGTCAGTGTAAATACAATCTCTTTTTACATATTTCACAAGTTCACATATAAAAATCCTTTTCATCCAAGTTCATACATGTCATATTGTCCGTCACAAACATGTTGTGGTATTGAAGTATGAGATGTATATTCAATGTTACAAATATGTGTTGTATGTTAATCCAGAAATGACAGATAATGCCCATCCAAGCATATTTCAATCAATAATGTTCCATGTGATCCTTCAAAATGATTCTTAAGATTCCTTGTCTCTTCTTTATAGACTATAGACTGCTTAGTATATTTCATTACATGGTGAGAAGCTGATCTTTCTAAATGACATGAAGCGAAGCATCTTAGTTGCATGTTTCCAACTACTGGTCCTACAAATATACAATATAAATAGAGGTTAGATGTGCAACTGGCACTAAACTACATCTAAACAATATAATATAATACAATATCTAAACTACAATCTAAACTACTAATATACACTTCAATCTTTAAATGGACAAGTATTACTCACTTCGAGAGCCATGTTAGATTTTGAAACTTATGGCTCTCAAACGGAGAAGTGAACAGCTGATCAATAGTGACCTTTGAAATTGAATTAAGTCGATCCGCGGCTTACTTTTGGTCTCTAACTGTGTCTTACATCAGTATCATCAATCCGTGTAAGTATTGGAGCGCTGGAGTACTTCTTTTTCGATCAAGACTTGTAAATTGTTCATCGAGTTAAAGTTTTACAGACCTATTTCCAATATGGCGGTTTGCTAGGTGTGAGATACGCAACGAACGAAATGAATTTTGAGAATTAGTTAGGTTCGGACAATCTCCGGAGATTTACGAAAATGTCCGAGCAGAAACCGCCATATTGGAATTTGGCAGTAAAACGATTCACTCGACTAACAATTACAAGTCTTGATCGAAAAAGAAGTACTCCAGCGCTCCAATACTTACACGGATTGATGATACTGATGTAAGACACAGTTAGAGACCAAAAGTAAGCCGCGGATCGACTTAATTCGATTTCAAAGGTCACGATCATTGAGCTGTCCAAATGCTCCGTGGGAAAGCTATTATATCAAAATCCAAATAGCTTTCGCAGGAAGTAAGACAAGTACATGTATCTCAAAATTTCCACTATGGATACATGGATTACATTGATATCACTTCCTGCCAGTCATGTCTTTTTGCCATTGGGAGAACGTTTATGCTTGTTTTTAGAATCAATTAAGGTAAGTTAGAAATCTAACATGAGTGTCTATTGAACCCTTCCAAGACCAGAATAGGATTGGATTCGTTGTCAGTCTGTCAGATTGATTGATAGATCTCCAGCAGTCATCTTTCAGATTAAGTTCAACTGAGTAAGTGCTAGACTAGACCAGTCTTACCCGAGATCAGGCTGTTGCATAACAACACTTATAGAGATTACAGTTACTGATGTTTAGGCCTACTCACTTTCACTCAAGAGTCAATTTTTTATAAAATTTTCAAAATAATCCCCCACTTGCTGCTTCTATCTTAGCTTGTGCAGCCTTGGCTTTATCTATTAATCGGTCCCGCTTTGACTTCAGATATCGTATCCTCAATTCACATAGATGATAACCTGCTATACATCCCAATCCGAATGATACAGAGAAGAATAAAAGAGATTCTCTCCCCGAAAGTTCCATTATTGTACAGGAAGTTTACACTCGTTAGAAAAATTTTCACTGGACGAAAATATACTGATTTCATTAGAGGGGAAAAAACGTACTGAAAAAGTATTTACTGAACTAAATACGCTTAGTGTACTTTAGAAAATCTTAACTTACATCCCTTGTATTTACTTACAATGATAATCACGAGCATATGTGAATCTTTACAGTAACAATGATCGGACCCGGGAAATGCCAGTGGTTTTCTTGACCGTCGGCGTAATGTGTATAGGCCTACAGGTAGGCTAGTCAAGTACCAACGATATCATATAGGCCTATACATAGTGTCAAAGCTCCGTTATGTTTTATTTTTCCTGTTGCAGAACCTTTTTTTCATTATATTGAAACAATAAAATAGAAAACCCTTGATTTATTTTTACAAATTAATCATGAGGTCCTCTTTTAAAAAATCCAATCTAGAAATCAACTGAGATATAACACAAGTAACTACACACTTTACTTATTGGAAAGCAGAATATGGCCATTTATTGATTTATTAAATCGGGTCATTCGATGAGAGTACATAAACATGATTGAGGGTGTAAGCAAGGCTCTATTTTTATTTATATTCCATATATTATTTTGTTTCAAAGAAATGTGCCTAAGGAATTCACTTTAATTCTTAGAAATGCAAAGCATCGTGCAAATCTATAACCTCTATACCTTGAAAATGTTTAGACACATCGAGAGACTTTGAGATTTTCTTTAGAAATTATTTTGTAACCGATGTATTTTTTATCTAAATATATTATAGTTTTGAAAACTTTCTCTTTTTCGAAGGGTAAAGCATAAATTAGATATAATTTAGTTACGTACCCAGCTCCGGTTACGTTCCTAAGTAATATTTTTAAAACTTTTTTTTAATTAAACAAATTAGAGTCGTGTGAATCAGAAATAACAGAATTATTCAACAGTATAAGGACTATTCTGTACTTTTTTCAAAAGTCTATACTTAAATGTTGTAAAAAGTTATAATCGAAAAACCGTCTTTCGGAGTAAAGTCCGACTGCGCCGATTTCAATAACTTCGTACTTGATCAGAACTGGGTTCCAACCAGGGGGGGAGATTTCCCAAAGATGCCCTATCATATTAGCACGTTCGAAAACAAATTTTATAAGCAGGCCTCAAATTGCCATTGAAATGGTTCTCCAAATGTTCACTGTAGTTTTATGAGTATTCTCTACGAGTATGGATCGAGTAACTTCAATAGTATTACCGTAGGTTTGAAATGATGATGTTGAACTGATGTTAACGCTCCCAGGATTTCAAATTTAACTCTGCGCATGCGCAGCACTGAGAGAGCACGTGCTCATGATTGTTCACGTGATCGAATCCTGCAATTTGATTGGAGATGATGCAAGAGATGATGTAATGGGGAATCCCCGAATACGATAGAATATGAAAGAATTATGGGAGCTACTCACTCCTCCTGGGTTCCAACAGAATTCCTACAAACTCATGAATGAAATAGCCATTGCATGGAATACTTACTTTTGTCAAAATCAAAGTAGAACTCTAGTTAAAAAATATATTGTGCTAAATCATTGCCATTTCTTAGTAAAATGTCGTTCTCCGGTACGTTCCCAAAATTATTCGATGGTACCCCGTGTTTCAGCTCGATTGATTCCACACTCAGTTCCAAGTGATATTATACCCTTCGCAAAATTGATGAGAATAGCCGCGTGCAATCCTTGCAATTGGCTCAATATAAGAGAAAATAAATCCATGATCGTTTTTGATAGCCATGGTTTCATTTTTATTTACAAAATCGTATTTCGCGACCTCATGTCACGCGGCGTAAAAATTTCTGCTCTGAAAGTGAAATCAGTTTCGCCGCGAAAACAGACTAGTGCTGACTTTATCACATTCCCGATATTATGACAAAATGAACATTTGGAATTGATGGTTCACCATCGTAAAGTGTGGCCTCCATACGGTAAGGTAGCATAAATATATCTAAATCGAGTAAAATGGTTTTAGTACAACTTTAATTTTGCAACAGGAGAATATGTTTCTATCGTGATAAACTCATATAGATGTCATGTCGATAGCTTAATTTAAATTAGCCGCTCTTCGCAGGTTTACTTATCTGTGTTAGCTACATACTCCAAACTGGATAAGTGGTAATACTTGAGGTTATCTTGTATGTCTAGTGATATTTTATCTGATATAATTTCATACTTTGGCTGAAGATGTACACGCTGTGAAAAGAGCAAGGCTTACAGTTTAATTGATCATTAGTGGAACTATTTGTAAAGTTCAGGTTCAGAAATATCAGTTTTGCAATAACTCGGGTGCAAGATACCATCAATTTTGTTATTGTAAAAGAAAAAGTGGTTAAGTGAGATTTTTCAAAGAATACACTCAATAAGGTTATTTGGTTCTTTGCCACATATCACAGGAGTCAGCCAGCTCAGGAGAGAGTAATTTGAAGAATTCCAGATTCGGTTTTATTATGCTTAGATATATGCATTATGCATAATGACTCTTCTGAGATGATGACAGTACTTATTGGGGAGCTGGATTCGAACAAAGGAATAATTTCGGTAAGTCTGATCTGAAAAGCAATAGAATTGTATGGCTTGAAGATAATGTTAAGTTTATAATGATCGCCGTATGGCGGTAGATTGTTCAACAGTATTTATATCAGTACGCCTCGAGTTTCGATATCAGCAATGTTTGAACAGAAAATTAAAGCTTTCTTGTCGATATAACCACGGTATTTATAATGCCTCGCCCTTATTGTTTTCACTTGTTAAAGACAAGTACATTAAATAAAGAAATCGTTTTATTGAAATGAATCAATGTCCAATCGTGTTAGCTTTAAAATTACGATCGGGCCTCGTCTCACTTGATTCAGTGACGAAAGTGGTTCATTGATTATGATGACGTAAGAAGGGGGCATGTCTGAGACAAGCGTTCAGTTGGATGAATAACTCCCCCACAAATCATAAGGATGATTCAAACTTCCGGTGAACCAATCCATAGAATACTACAAGAGATTACAGAGAGCATTCTAAGTGTCATAACTTGTGATGATATCCAGATATATTTAAGTAAATAAAACGCAACACACTGACTGTTTTTTATTAGATAGGAAAGTAATTTATTTGGAGGAAACATTTGAACGTAAGTAACATCAATAATGTTTGAGGTATTTAGTGTCATTTGACAAGAATCGGAAAGAACTGTGATGTTTCATTGAATTGAATATGCAATTGCTATTTAGAAAAGACGATTTTTATGAGCTGATTAGATCCAGTGCATAAGATATGTCTTATTATGCCCTAATATGTGAACTGAAATTAAAGGGTTAATGGCTAATTCTCCTTCTAAAAAACTCAACTATTTTTCCATAATGATATGTACACGATCAAGAAACTCGCGCTCGGGCATAACTTCTTTTTTGAACTTGTACACGATCAAGAGTCTCGGGCAGTTTAGAAAATACTTTCACATTTTCAATTTCTTTAAGAATAATTTCTCAAGCTTCGGTAATTACACTGATTTTGGAAACTGAAATTAAACTGATTTTGGAAATACTGAATTATTTTTTATATCTAGATGTAAAAACGTCTCTTTATATCTTTAGTACATGTACATTATTATGATGGAAACTTAATACAGTATTATTTTGATTAACCGATCAATGGTGTCTATAGTATTCCAAGTTTTATTAGGGAATACAAAAGCACTATAACTAGTGTTCTGCTATCTAAATGCTTCTTCTTACCATTGAGCGCAAGTTAGACAATTTTTACAGTGTATTATAATATAGACTCCCGGGTATAGACTATTAAAGATAGATTTACAAGTTTTGCCATTAGTTAATAACAAATACGTTGTGGTTGTGCTAATGATGTATCAAAATTACCATTTGTTGATAAAGATGATCATTGAAAATTCATTGCAGCAGAATTATTCCAAAATTAATCTTGAAAGGTATGGCACTCAATTCCCTAATGGGAAATATAGGATATGTATAATATCAAGAAAATCGTAATTAGTATGTGCTTAATAAAGTCGGTTGGACTGTTTAATAAGTTTTTCTAGCGGATCCAAATAGAAGGAAAAGCGATGCATTGTGGGAAGAAGAGATAGACGTCCTTGGTTTGATGTACGTTCAAAATGTCAATCACAGAGCTGATCAAGCATTTTTATTTCTCTCTATCAGAATAATCGCTCCCCTGACATATAAAACAACTATAGAACATCGAGACTACAATCGCTGCATTTCATTTTCGAAACTGTGTCTAAACCCAACTTCACTTTTTATGACTTTTCAGAAACAGAAATGGGGATGAGCGACATCGACGTCAGTGCGATATTTTTGGCGATATTTTGTCTAGCAGTATCTGCCCATGCTACTGACTACATCAATGAGGAAACGACTATATCTTGCCTTGTTAGGGAGTACAACTTTAAGGTGAACAAACCCCATACTCTCCCAAGTGGAGAGGTCTTACAATGCTGGGATGTTGTGAGCGTCAATTCATGTTGGGGACGCTGTGACACAAGCGAGGTGAGTACTGTCAGAGTATTCATTACAAGTTTACCCGCGTGGTTTAGTGGATTATTATTTAATAAATTTATAGTCTATCATATCTCTTTCTTTGCTATATGAACGTCGAAGATTTTTTCAAGTTTTTGAACTTTTTTGGCCATACATTGGTAATAAGGATGAATATATTTATATGATAGGTACCAACACCAGAAAGCAATTTTGAGGAAGGGATGCGATGTTTCCCTAATTAAACGTCAATAGGTAAATCATTTAGGTTGCGCCAAACAGTAATACATCATGTAAATTGCTATCCTCGTTTTTATTTGAGCTCATTTGAGATCTTGATGTTTTTCAGATTCCCGACTATGAGATTCCCTACAAAATAAGCAACCACAATGTATGTACTTTTACAAAAAAAGTTAAGCGAGTTGTAAGATTAATGAGGTGTGATCCCAGGCATCCCGACCCATACTACACCGTATATAGTGCAGCTGACTGCAGGTGTACCAAATGTGACCCGGACTACACCAGTTGCGAGAGCTTACACGGCTGATGGTATCCTGCTAAAACGACTTCAAAAATGAAAGAAAGAGCTTGATGGTGGACCTTTCGAACATACTTGTCCCTCGTTGTTTTTCCTTGGAGAGACAGGGAGTTCAGGCAAGAAGTTGAGATGCATTCCATGTGGCGGCAATTTGTGAACGAAGCGGCGCTAGTTTTCTAAGACTTGAGAATGCTCAAAACATCAAAACCCATGCGCCCAAGCAATTTTATAACCTGATACTTGTCGACATGAATTGTGATGTATATTTTTCTGATACGTTCTATTTAACCCGACGCTGACATTTTGGTGTGGGTCGCGTGTTTATATCACATTACGTTCTGTCTACACCTACTCTATCAAACTGATTCTTATTTAATCACCATTTCAAGGCCTAATCGATGTCTTGGGGTTATGTTAAAAATATAAGTCAAAGCAACAGAAGGGGATAATTAGCGTTTGATTAATATAAAGTCGATGTTAAATGAATAGAACGATCTTATATCGGTTATATGTCACATAGCCCACAGCTATTTGGGTCAACTAAGGGGCGTATTGAAATTACTAAGATACATTTATTGCCACAAGTTCAAAAATGAAACAATGCATTTTGAGCTTGACCATCTTTGATTTTCGAACATCTAGTACGCCCCGTGGTTAACACAGGTAGCTCTAGCCAACTTTATTCCACTTATTCACATGAGGTTATTATGGACAAAAAAGGAGAACGCTATATATTCTAAACTTGCGGCCTGGTGTGTACACCGTACATACCATGCGAATACTCATTTCACAAGACTGAGATTAATAACGTTAACAGTTCTCTCCAACTTATTGCATTTCATATTGGTAGACAAATATTGAATTGAACAATTAGCTTGATATTAAGATGTTATTAGAGTACGTTTCATATAACAGATAAGGCCAGTAACAGTGCAAGCTAAAACCAAAGCGACGAGTCGAAAAGGTAAACAATGTTCAATGGATATTAATGTCAAATGAATGTAATGCAATGTTAACGAGTGTAATACAATACATATGTTATGAATAAATAATTAATCACAATTATTGTAAATATATATGTTGTATATTGAAATAGATTTTTTATTTTTCTACACGATGGTATATTATGTTATTTCAATAAAAACGCCATACCGCCATTTTGTTATTCAATTCCAGCCATTCGACCACCTTTCATGTAAACCCGCCATGTGTGTTCTTTAATCACGTGGATCGCAATCACTTATATACACCAACACATCCTTTCAGTTAGCCTTCATACGCTCAAGCTATTTATTAAAATGAATTGAATCTGACAATGATATCACAGAATAATGGAAGATGCTTTTGTGACATGGTGGCCAATTTGCATGCAAGCCACGTGACATTTTAATACACCGGATACAGGGTGGTCCAAAAATGAAACAATTGGGGCGGGCTACATCTTAGTTATTGCTTCACTCAGAAATTATCGTTTTGAGCAACTTAAATAGAGAGCCTTGTCTTTGAGTAAGAAAATATAATTTTTTTGCTTAGCCTTATCAAGAACCCGGTGTGAAAGAAATTATGGTCCCCCGGGGATTATGGTCCCCCCTTTTAAAGGCACTTACTGGCCCTGATTGTGTAGATAATTATGGAAAGAGCACAAAGAGGTCACCATATAATGATGTATGGATATTCCCAAAACAAATTCTGCTATGTTCTGTTTGGATTGATATGGATCTTCAAAGCAAATCTTCCTTACAGCCTTATGATTTATGAATTGCCTAAAATTACACTTGGAATGAATGAGATTGTGTATCGAAAAGCAGCTACCAGGTCACCCTTCTAGCCCACCCAAGCAAAATAATATTACATCTGTTATTTCACATTGTGGATGTGAGCAACAATGTTCTTAGAGGGAGATCAACAGACAAAAAAATAAATTAAAATTCTATATTTTTAAGATTCTCAATCCAGTCCTCCTTTTACATGAATCCAATCCACTCGATGCAATCCACCTTTTAATCTTTACCATAAAACAGGAAATACAGGTTGTTCAAGAGCAAATCCTCATCCCACTTACAAGGAAAGATGGTCACTCTTTTTCTGATATCTCTTGTCAAAAGTCGTATTCTGATTCCATTTTGACAGTTCTACTGACGTTTTGTTAGTAGGCGTTGTGTTCAAAACCATTAGTATAAACTCATGAAAAGAAATTGATTGACTGGTCAATAGAATGGCTTGAAAAGATCAACAGATCAGAGATCCTGTTAAAAGAGTAACTGCTTTTTTATAATCAGTGACGTTATGATTTGCTCCACTGAACACTATTTCAAGTTACTATGACAAGTTGACAACTTCTATAGAGCAGAATAAAACAGCTGAATCGCCAAATTGTTATAACAGAAATTCTGCAAATCAAAATACAAAACCTGTTCTCCGGAATTAAAAAATCAAACTTCCTTACAAAACAAAATATTTTTGTCCAATTATTAAATAAAATGTTAGAAAAACAACATGATTGTGTATAGAGTAGTAAACAGATAGCATTTATTTGGAGATTTAGTTGTACATCATTGTGGATACTTTGCTTTTGGCTCAACGCAACATCAATTCTAAAATATAGCTCACTATATTCAGAAGAAATGTTGTGTTTGTCTTAACAACATCAAGTATGGCAAATAGGCACCACCTAAACATGTACATTCAAAATAAAGATGGTCAAGGCAAAACAGACCCTGCATACCATCATTTTTCCAATGAATATATTTGTACATGTTACCATGGCAACAATTTACTTATTCATATTTCCTTCAACAACATTTTACATTAAAGCTACACTAACTATTTTGATTTGAAGTAATCTTATTCTGTAAGATATGCATACACATACTGGTAATTGTATTGTCATTGCATCTACTATCCTATCATTTGTTGAAATTCTAATAATCAATTAATAAATAAAAATATACAATTCATAAGAATTAAATACTAAAGGATTTATGAAATTGAAAGGGTTATCAATTTCAATGAATCTAAAAATAGCCATTCACTCTGTTGAAAAATATAGAATGCATTTATTTTTAAATACTGTGTTCTGATTGGCTTACATTTGATAATCTTGCCTAGCTATGTGAATTTATTTCTAATATTCATAATTGGCTTTTAGACAGCATACAGGATTATGGGAGCTTACATTCTGCATTCATTTTATATCAGATTCAGTACAACAGTTACATCGTTCCACATCACTGAAAGCATTTTGGACATTACTTTTATATGCTATTTGAGTAACATCAAGAATGAGTATTCCATACACATTTTTGTAATACAATGTACTTATTTTTGTATTTAATAGAGTGGGTCACATAAAAATTAAATTCATTCTATCACATCTGTAGAATTGTTTGTAAAATTCACATCAGTAACATCTGCAGTATTATGGCACTGCAAATATGTCATACTAAAATAACTGTGTCACACAATTATCGCCGCAACAGTAACATTGTTTCACATGTGTAATATTATGTTACATCTTTAATGTTGTCACATCCGTAACATTGAGTTACATCCATAACATTGTGTCACATCCGTAACAATATGGCCTTGTTACAGCTCAGTACCCCTTAATGAATCACGATGATTTACAATACTGAAATTTGTGCAATCTCTCAAGAATCTACAAAAATCTGCTGAGTTAAATAATACATGAAGGCTTTATGGATAAGGTAAATAAATACAGTTTAGCTAATAAATAAATATAGTTTAGAAAACTAATACTAGCATTTTGATTCTCATTGCATACGTAAGACATTAGCACAGCACGGGGCCAATTACTTACTGTATGATCTGGACAAGCATACATTTATCATTAAACATGTACATGTATTCGAAAATAACATGCCCGCTAGTCAGATTTGTCCAATAAGTATGAAATTCTCTTGATATCAAATCTCCATAATTGGAAGAGAAGATTCTCCGATTTGCAATTAGAAAGAAGAGAAGGGCTATGATAAAATGATGAGTTGTTGAGTTGTTCATGATAATGTCCATGTGAGTATTCAATGACATGATCACATTGTTTCAACCTACGATATAATATATATATATAATGTGAAAGTGGGGATGGCATCAATGCTATCAATTTCAAAATTAACAAAAATCATATTATATTTAGCAGTCATTTAATATAAACTTTACTTTGAAGTCTAATTGCGCTTAATAACACCAATTAAACATTGGCAGTCAGAGCCAATTAAACAAAGAAATTATTGATTGAGTCTACAACAAATAATATACCTTTTAGAAATGACAGACTCCATTAGGTTTTTGTTAAAATTCCTGATGATGTGTCCCACTAATGTCCATTATCAGGGAAACAATGAACACTTACACACTTGTCTAATTTCATCAGGCTTTAACTCATCTATCAGTGGCATCAGCTAGATGTCCCGAATACAAAGGGATGTGCAAAGTAGTTGATTGCCTCCCATGATTCTTATGTCTCAACAAAAATGGTATCGCCAGATGAGAATTGCATTCTGGGAAGATTGTCCTTTAGATGTTCTCAGTTAGATTTATTCCTTTGAGAATAAGATATTTTGTCAGTCTGAACACATACATATTTGTGAAGATATTGGAGATTCAAGGTTCGAATATTAAAATTCACAAGGCTCTTGAGAGGGCTACTTTCATGAGCTTGATGACTCAGAGTTACTCGCAGGGATGGAAAGGATTCAGAGAGTTTGCTTTCAACTGTATCGTCACTGAGTCATTCACCAGGGGGAGCTGTGTATTGATGCAACTAGCCTCTGCGACAGATGGAACATTTACAGCTGGCTGCTGATTTAAAGGTGTACTCTCTCATTCCATCTATACAACGTACATTAACCACCACCTGCAAGTAAAAGCAAAGTTAAGTATAAATACAGATGGATTGGAGTCTTTTAAGAAGGAGGTCAAAGATTCAAAGTTTATGGCTCAATACAGAGAAAACCTGCAAAATGGAACATCTCCACAAATTGAACACCTCTGTTAGTGGAATACTTTTAAGAGTCCCAAAACCAATTGACTTAATGTTAAACGAACCCCTATAAAGGGAACACCTCCAAAGTGGACACTGAGACAGTTTTTATTGTATATGACCACAAATCACTGTGATTCATTGATTGTCAAAAAAATTAACTCGCATGGGAAGAAAGAGATTCTTCTCAAAAGAGATAAATAATCAAAAGTTATGTAAAATTGTATTAAAAATGTAAAATAAATAAATAAGAAAAAAATCAAAAGTTTTATATACATGTATCTGCCATTAATCAAGAAAGCACATTTTTTGTTAAGATACATGTGTGAATAAGCAATAAGGTATGCATATTCAAGCAGGTGTCATTAATTATCAAATATTGGAGATAAATTCCTTGCTTGAGGCACTGAGACATCATTATCACGTTAGAAGCAATGACACTGATGTAAAGAACAATAGGTTTTAGTTTTATCATTTACCATACGGGATAAGGGCAGTTATAATAGGTATCGGTTTTATCATTTACCTTTCAGGATGAGGACAGATTATTATTGACCAAGCATTCACATTTTCCCTGCAAATGAACTCTTGTTACACACAAATGCATAATTCCATTGGGATTGAAGAATATAATTTGACTCATGCCACTAATGTAGAACTTAAACATAAGAACAATACACGTAGATGTGATATAATCGAGTTCAATCAATGATAAACTAAAAACAGGTTAATGTCCCAATATTACAAAGCCAACTCATTGTATTGAAAATGATACATTTCAGGCGCCAGTTTGCCTCAAGGGGCAGATACTTTGCTAATAGGAGGAACCCAACTATTCAACTCATAAACAACTTTTGTATTTGTTATTTTATCAAAGCCTACAGCATTTTCGTTTTCACCATCTAAGATTTAAAAATATAAGACCTAGCAGGAACAGCCTATTTCTCTCCATATGAATCGAGATATTTTTGTCCAAAACATTTGCTCTAGAGGAAAAATCCATTGTTCAAAAATTGATGTACCAGGATCAGGTTTCTGAATAGAGGATCATTAGTTTTAATGGTAGAATATGATATTAAATGATGCATTATGAGTAGAATTATTGTCTCCAGACCCAGGTAATATTGCCTCATCATCATGATCGAGTTCACTTTTGGACAGAATTGATTTTGTATATCCTAAGTACAAGCACATGTGCAATTGCATTGTTATATCATCAATACTATTGCTAAATTGTTACGCAAATCCTCACTCGATTGGTCCAAACAGTTATTTCTTTCTGAAAGATATTGAAAATTCCTTCTTGAGCAGAGGTCCCATGCCCATAAGCCATAAGCCTTTACAATTTCAATCAAATCAAATAATATTTTTGTTATTGCCAATTGGACAGACAGGCATCTTCTATATATCTCTACATCTTGTCTAGGCCTATATAATAAGAATTCCTTTAGAGGGGATCAGGGAGGTGTAAAATGGCAGATGTAACAAGATGATAATGGGGAGCTTACACCTATTGTTTTTGTGAGTACAGTTAAACCTATGAAATGAAACACATCTGTAAACCTCCTAGGCAGGTTTTACTCTATGGTAATTGAGTATAATTCTTCATAGAGGATACGAATAAAGTATTATTATTGCTCCCTAGATGTTACATAATAAAGATTATTTCTTTAATTGGTTTAAAATTTGGTCAATTTATCTAAAAATTGTACCAGAACACACCCTCCCTTTAGTTCTTGCCTGATTATATTGGATATTATCTAATTAGAAGATTAACCCTTTTTACTGAAAATGTTTTTTTAATTTCCCATATGTCCTATAGACCAATTACAACCGGCAATAAAATATGATATTAAGACATATTGGCCTTGCTGTTAGATATTAAATTTGAGTTTAGAGTTTTGCAAGCATCTTCTTTTGTTCTGTAGGACTATAGATATTTTTTGTTCACAATTTTCTTTAAGTTTGAGTCCTGGACTGATTTCAATTAAATATAAAAGATTCAATGAAGTGGACTTAAACTGTATTTGAATTGTGAGCCTGTGCCAGAATGTTAGAAGTACACTCCAAAAAATCTATAATTTTGAAGCAGAATCTACAAATTTTAACCAAAATGAATGGAATAATATCTCCCATTGAAGACACCGATTACTCCTGATGAAGAAGTTAATCTCACAGGGAAGTTAATTCCTCTCAAAGGAAAAGCTCCAACAAGATAAACTATAGTAATTAGTCCTAAAGCTTTTTACTCCCCCAAGAAAAACATATATCTTGAAGCTGAAGAAGCTTATTCCACAGGAGAAACTAGTTATTCTAAACAGCCATGGCTCCACTTCTTTTCCAGTTATAGCAAAAATCAAGAAAAACACACATAAAAATGGCACCTCACTAGCCAAATGGTCATAAGAAAGTGTAATATATTCCGAAGTAGGGACATATAAAATCTCAACAAAGACGCTCCAACACTATCTGAGTTATTACTCGTAGTAGACAAAGTGTCACAAGACAGTGTGCCATGCTTATACGTTTTCACATATCAAATATGAACGAAATTACTCTTCTGCTTTTGGAGAAATAACAAAAATCATAAAATAGCATGTAATAGCCACCATTTTTCAATATGACCACCATGTTTATTTTAAATATTTAGATTTTCAACTGTGTCAATACCATATACTTTTTCTTGCTTTTAAAAGATATTAATATTACAATTTTATAATTGTTGTACCTATAAAATTGAGACAAAAACAGTGGCCATTTTGAAAACGGTGGCCAATATGAAAATCAATTTTCGAGCAGAACTTGTACTCCCATAGGGCATATGCGTATAAAATATAAACGAAAATAAACCAATGTTATTTGAGTTTGCCCGGATGGAAGAAGGTACGTACGGACATATGTATGAACTGAACCATTCTCTATAACTTCCTGAACTTTGTTCAATGGGTTAATTATTCTAAGGGAGAAACAACTTATATTTCCACAGGAGAAACTAATTATTTCTAAGGGTGAAACAACTTATATTTCCACAGGAGAAACTAATAATTTCTAAGGGAGAAACAACTTATATTTCCACAGGAGAAACTTGATTATTTCTAAGGAAGAAACAACTTATTTCCAAAGAAGAAAATAAAAATTATGCCTTGGAGAAATTGTACATGTACTTACATCATGTGTTTGGTCTATACTGCAACAAGAGCTCCGACTAGTAAGAATGTGATTTGGATTAATTTCTTGTGTAAGACTGTTGGAAGGCACTGCATACGACATACAGAATCCCCGACATGCATTAGTTGTCACTTGGAATGAGACACAACCAGGAATATGGACTTTTCGTGTGTGGCCTGAAAACAGAGAATAATTTCACATTTCCATTTGAATTTTTTTCATCAACAGAATTTATTTCTTTGAGAGTGCATTAGATGAACAGTTATGGGATTTTGTCTATCACACATTATTTGAGACTGAATGCTGCATCTTGTTTGAAATAAAGTACAGGTGTACTGTATATAGGTATATTGGAATTCTTTTATTTTTCTACATGTATTATAATGATTCATTGTGGTGGTGAAGAATGTATTAGATTAAACACTGTTTCTTTGTGTGTTAAAATCATCATTTGGGATAGTGTGGTTTGTTTTCCTCTTGAATAGTTGTACTCTTAGGTGTATATTTCATTTTTTCTCTAATCTTTAACTTTCCCTTTCAGGTCCTGTTAAGATACGTTAAATGGCAGATCAACATACTGAACACGTGTGAAGTCACTGATCTAGCAAGTCATAATATATTGGATGCCATGGAAGATATGTTTCTATTCTTGATAAGCTTTACTTACTCAAATTGAAAGTGAAAGAATCCATTTGGAAATATAAGACATCCCACCCACAAGGCTGATTAGACTTTATGAAGCTATTGTGATGTCTTGTGAAGCAATCAGTTTCATTTGTAAACATTCTTTGCAAAATAATTCCAATTTTGATTTTGTTTAATTTAACAGAATGAGTCAATATTGAAAGTCACTGATATAGATTTCGCTTCAGAATAAGATGAAAAAAAAATGAACGGCTTTGTTAAATCTGAAGAATTTGGAAACATTCTCTGTGTATATATTCCAGAAAATTTCCCTACTTCTTTTTCAAATATGAAAGACAAATAGGAGAACGATGAATTGGAGAAAGATGAATGGGAAAAAATGAATGGGATAAAGATGAATTGGAAGTTACTTATTGGTTTGTTACTGGAAATTCTTTCAACCCTAAATGTCTGATTCTACAGTACCTACAAATTAACTGACCTAGATTGGAGATCTAGAAAACTATGATGTTGACATATTGACACTGATAGATCATTCTACACTCTTTTTTGAAAAGAAGATTAATATTGGGATAAAATCATATGTTAATAGCCAGGTAAGTCGACAGTAATTCAAACCTATAACAATATAAATTGTAATATTATACCAATGAAGCTATGGATTAAATCATTATCTCAAGTGTCCTTAGACTAATCTCCACACCAAGGAGCTTAAAAGTCCATAACTATACATCATTTAAGTTAGAAAGGTGGTTCCCTTTCCTTTTCTGCCCATTGAAATTCCCTTCCGGTGAATGAGTTGATGAATAGAAGAAGTATTAAGCTGTCCTTCATTCCCAAGGTCAAGTGAAGTCACATAATTCAAAACATGACAGACAGCTGCAGGACTTGTATATTAATAGAAGATTAAAGCTCTTATTGACCACGCAATTCCCATTCCACCTCCACACAATATTGCAAACTAAGTGACGTCCCAAATTAATCCATGAAGGTTCATATTGGATAGGTGAGGTTCATATTGGATAGGTGAGGTAATGGACTCTGTGTTAAGTATTTTGATTATCTTTATATATCCTCTAGAGGTTTGTATAATTTTGAAAGCCTGTTGTCAATGTGTCCAGTGATTTGTCACAACAAGTCCACAAATGGACTGTGGGGGAAAGTTTCAAAGTTTGGAAAGAGTAGTACTTAAACTGACCAAATTAGCTAAATTGAACTATGAATATTTAATTCTTTATAATGTAGATATGTTATCAAGCTTGTGTTATTAAGTGCCAACATTTTTCTCATTTTTCAAAGATCTAAAGTTATCACTTAATAATTTCAAACTTGCTGATACTATATCAAGTCTGTCTACTGTGATCTAACCCTATGATTTCAACATGTTTGAAGACTTTGATCTAAATGTAGTAAAGGTGCCATAAGGTGAATCTTTCAATATTGACTTTCAATATACAATTGAACCTATATCAAAACACCTCTAAAAGCGAACACTTCTCCTTGATCCCAATTTCAGTATCTCCGATAGACTCACACAGTGAGAAACCTAGAAATCTAAAGCTGTAAACACCTGCTAGTCGAAACACTTGTCGTAACACAATTTTGATTCAGAACTTAAATTTTCATACTAAAAAGTAAAAATGAGAGAAAAGTACAAAGCAAAGATTTTTAAAGCTACCCACCTAATTTAAAACACCCTGGCTGCTCCCAAGAATGTCCATTTATCACTGTAACTAGTACAGTCAGTGTCACTATCAATGCTTTCATGATATAAATATACTTATTTGGTAATCTCATATTGTTATATAAATATATGTCCTGCAACACCACTCTCTGTTATTTCTTTATGCCCTACCAGGCCACGTAGTTCTTCTACACTGCTTTTGTTGGGCAGTTAGAACTTGTTCCTCTTGTTTTGAGTGGGAATCTTTAAGCCAACCTTCTGTCTACGTGTCTGATATCGTTGTCAGTAATATCAATCAGTTTCTGTTTGTTATTAAGATGGTGATGTTTATTATTTTATTGTGATCTTGAGCTTGTGGTTCTTCTTTGTTTTTAATCTGCAAATAGAAAATGGAGAGATCATTGGCGGTTTAATATTTTACACATTCATTCTCGTACTGTCTTCTACCGATGATGATGGTGAGTCATACCTGCATTTAATAAGAAAGGAAAGACCTAGGCCAACTCTTTGAAGGAGTTCTGCATTCTTTTATGTGCACTCATACAAGCATATAAACATATAAGAACACACTACAGCATGAGTTGTGGATCAGTCAAGCAAACAAATAACCTGAATTTCTTGATGTAACAAGCAAGTAATCACAAATACCCTTGCCTGATCCATGGAATGAATGTGGACCACTGCTCTACTGTTGAGCTATATGACACAAGAAGTATCTGCAGTTGGCAAAATAATTCCTACATTCATGGGTCTCTTTTCCATCAACATATGGTCATCCTTAAGAACTGCCTTTAAGTTCTATCTTTCATCATTTTGATCTCGTTGAAAAAATGTAGATTAGAAAACTGATTTCATTTGAACTAGTAAGTACCTTCAAAAAAATTAGTTTCATTATGAAGGGTGGTGGATGTACTAATGAGTCACAGAAATGGATTACATGACTAAATGTATAGAATAGAGTGAAGTTTTTGAGACATCACCCCATACACGACCAAAGCAATAGATGGGGTTAAAATATATTTCATTGACTGACCATGCTTGAGATGTCAAGTAAAATTACCAGTTAAGCTAGTTAGTTATTACAGATCCCAATTACTGATTAGCATCAAGAATTATTCCTCTCTGAGGACCAATTAGAATGTGGCGAAATGGACAAACACACAGTCCAAATATGAGATCTGATAGAAAATGGTAAACGATTCAAAGTGAAAAAATTCAGGAAGATATCCTATGATTTATGGATGATTTGATTTGAGTGTGCGTGTAGGTTCAAAGAGTGTTATTTAAGTTCTTAATTTCTAATTTTTCATATGAAATAAATAGTAAAAATGTAAAACATACTGTTAAAATTAATATGTTATTTCAAACACAAGGACACATATTCAAGGAGATGTTTTCTGAGCATAATAACACGTCTCAACTAAAATTGGATATTCTATGCCTTACAGTCATATTACAGGAAGGGATTAATTGTAAATATGTTATTGTAAGTTTAATAAATAAACTGTAATTGCTAGAAGATACTGTATAGGCTTGTTGAACCATGCTAGGTATTTTGGGATAGTTGGGGTTTGTTTTTCTTATGACTGGTGTTCACTTCGATGTTTTTTTTTCGTGCTGGGTTCTGTGGCAATTTTTTGTCCTTCCCCTTGTGCGCGCATTAAAAAGAATTTATTGATAACAATGTATCTGTATGCAATTAATTTTAAATACACAGAAAATAAATAACATACATTTTGGTGACAGAATGTTTAACAATTGATTGCTTTGATAATTAATTCAAACCACGAAAACCAGTTTGTAAGCAAACTTATACAGGGTGTCCATAACATCTTTTTAAATTACAAAAAGTCTGTGTAAAGAAACCTTTATGGACACCCTATATATTCAACTAACAGCAATGGAATTACAGCATTATGGTTTACATTCCACATAGTGATACGCATTTTGGCACTTTTTAGACAACTCAGATTATTCTTTGTAGAGCTAGAACAAATTCATATTGTTCGTTATTAGTTACAACTGTCTTTCAAATATACACTTTTCTAAATTGAAGACTGGGTGAAAGTGAAATGAAAAACATTTACTTTTGCTTTCATTATGATATGCACAACAACCTTTTATCCAAGAAATTAATCAAATTTAGTTTCAATGTTACTTTTCCATAAAACAAGACTATTATACGCAGAATTCAGGTTCATTTTACTTCCCAGTTTCATAGCATTTTTAATAATAAGAAATATTTTCTCCAGATTTTCACAAAATTTTTAAACTTCCATGTTTCTGTTGATATTTTCTGACTAATATGTTTATAGATAGTACTAATGGGTAATAGGCTCACATGGTTTAAGTCCTTTCAAAAGACTGCTGTTGAACCTTTAAAAACCATGTATGATATAGGATTAAAAGTGTAACTTTTAAAATGAAGTATATTCATGAAGCAAATTCATCCAGTGTCTCAAGAAAAGTGTGAAAGCAATTCTAAAAGTACAAAGGTTTTTAAAAAGTATATTGCAACTTGCAAGAGAGAGCAGTTTTCCAAAATTTACATTATTTTGAGTTTATATTGATGTCATTATCACCCCAATTTACTCGATTTATGTCTACTTCAATACTCATATCAAGAGCTGGGTGAATCCCTATTTAATATTTTCTGGGTACTTCTTTGAAATATTAATTAACATATGTTTCAAATATCATTCAGATATAAATCCCTAGCATCAATAACATGTTATTTGTATATCATAACAGGTAAGAGAGTTCTTAGGCATGGTTACCTCAGCTCTTAGCAGGGTACAAGGCTAACTTTTGCGAAAATATATTGATCTTAGATTAAATGCCAAAGTGTCAAAATGGTGCCTTTTATAGATATATGCAGCACATTTTGGAAGCTCTTGAGCTCAATCAAAGTTGCTTCAATGAATCCACAGTAGCACTAGCTTTCATATGGTATATAAAAATGGGGGTATGACAGTCATGAACTACTCCCAAAGGCAATTTCTAAAATAAGTTAGATATTAAGGGAGTTTGTAATTGAATTGGCTGTGATTCCTTCACAGATAAAATGATTATGTCAAAGATATCCTGTGTGGATCGTTACTTCTTATGTTCTAATCATTTCACAGACACTTTGCCCTGATACAAGTGTTTTATTTCCAACTTCCCATAAACATAGTATCATGTAGTATTATTGCAATCAAGACAAGTGGTGTTATGCAATGCTTTAGATATTAACACAAACAAAATGTTTGTAATTAGGGAATGACCATATTTAGAGATATACATAACAAGGATACTTCATATGTTGCATTCCAGCCCACCCTTCATCTACATGCCTACATAATTAGTCAACATATAGGAATTTAAGCTTTCTATCATGTTGTGCAGCACATATTGTACTATACTTCAGTACACCTTATTACATAAAAAACATATTTACTACACAATACTTTACAACACAATGCAACACTACACAACAAATGACAAAATAACACAATGATACACATATGTCATAACACATAAACTATATAATATTACACAACATAGCATAAAACTTCATAACACATAAACTATACAATACTACATAACACAAAACTTCATAACACATAAACTATACAAGACTACAGAACATAAAATTTAAAATTTCTTAACACAATCTATACAAGACAATACAATGCAATGCTACAAAACAAATGACAAAATAACACAATGATACACATATGGCATAAAACATAAACTATACAATACTACACAACATAGCACAAAACTTCATAACAAATAAACTATACAATACTACACAACACAAAACTTCATAACACATAAACTATACAAGACTACAGAATATAACATAAAATTTAAAATTTCAAAACACAATCTATACAAGACAATACAATGCAATACTACACAACACAACACATAACTTCATAGATAACATAAAACATTAACTACGCAACACTACACTACATACAATGTGTTGTATTTAGTAATTACACATAAAATACTTAATTTAATACTAATTTAATACTTTAATTTTAATTTTTTTTGTGTTGAAAATTGAAATGTACCAAAAATGAATAAATGGTAAATTAAACAATCCCTATAACACTAACAAGTAAAATTTAAAAACGCAAATCAGCACAAAGCCAAATGATAAAAATGTAAACACTGAATATGCATAAACTATAAATGAAATTTCACGATAATAAGAGGACAATTAATTTCTTCACACCTTATCTTAAATCAATGTACCTATACTTCATAGTCATAGCAATGTGTTATCAAGCATTTATAGATACATACCATGTATACCACCAGATTATTAGTTCTCTATAATATCTAAGTTAATCCCTACCTTTGTAGAAAACTATCACTCCTCTTGCTTTATGTTTATATTCCTCATTGTGTGTTTATTTTATATGACAGACCATGAAATAGAAGATGGAACATATGTGTTGCAATACCTCCCCCAGATATCTCTATCAAATGCAGAGTGAAGTGAAGTTTTCCATGATTGCCTAATGTAAACAGTAATCATCATATCTGTAGGCAGAGCATGACGTTACCCAGTGTTCTTATCAAATACAGCGCAGCAATGTAACATCGTGGGATGAAGTTTTATAATTTCAATTTCATCATACCTTTAAGTAAGAGCTTAAGGGTGTGGGAATTTTATACATCATTGATTGGATCAAGGTTGATTAATTATATCAAAATCTTATTTGTGTAACATAACTATTTTCTAATTAATATTTTTACTGTTGTAACTCTACTGTGTAGCAACGGCACTAAGTACCAAATAAATACTAATTACTTTCTAACTGAAATTGAGAAATATTTGTGCTGTATGTTTGGTATTAATTGTGACTTGTGTCATGTTACCGTTAAACATTAATGGAACACTCTTACATATCCAATAAAAACGTAGCAGTAAAAGTTTTCTTCAGTTCTATATTATATATCATTTTTGAAACGTCATATTCAAGGAATGTTAAAAATCATTATTTGTAGTTTTCTACATACCCATTGCACCTGCTGTGAAGTTCATCAATCAAATCGTGTCATTGATCCCGAGGTAAAAACTTGCGGTTAACTTCACTATAATTCTTGCTCATAATGTAGGATTCTCACTCCTTTCTATTATAAATATGTCTCTTCGATAATCTATTCCAAAACTCCAATGTCATCCTGATTGTGTAGAATTGTACCTGAGTCATACTCCAATCAAAACATCTTGGTAGCGAAATTTGCATTTGCCTAATCTAGCGCTATCAATTAATTTCAATTGAGTTGTTTCATCTTAAATACATGGCATTAAAGTTGTTTCGCAATTGATTGGGGTTAGTCAGAGCCCGCTGATGGAATCTACACCAATCAATCAATGCATGTCGTTAACTTGCTGAAACTAGTTCCATTTTAGTCTGTCAGCAAATCATAAGGAAAACTCTTATCATTTGTTTTTTATTGATTTAATATACAGGCATGTATTCATAATAATTATGACCACAACATCAGGGCACTTGGAAATTATCACGGTTAAGTGGTGGCATTGATTCTGCGGTTTAGTCATAATTTTACCTTAAAAAACATAGAAGTCAAATTAAAAGGCAAATCAAATTGATTGAATATAATCTATCTATTTTCCAGATGAAGAGATACTTGTGTTTATGAAATGTATAGTCTGGTAAGTATATCCTAATTTTAAGTTTATGGGAATGATACACTCTATAGAAAAGACCAAGTCCAAAGACCTCATTTGATTTGGTAAACTTGAAAAACATACTCACGTGGTAATCTTGAAAAACATTCGAACAATGAAAAACTTGAAAAACATACAAACACATGTCAATACCCCCCCCCCCCCCTGAAACTATGAGATTAAAATAAGTTGATTAAAATAAATGATATTAAAACTAAATAAATGTTTCGCCATATGATTTATTTAAATACCAAATCATATTGTGTAATCACATGGAAGATACTTTCACATTTTTTAGATATCATGAGATGTACTTCATTTACTAGAATGGGCCTGATTGATTTTTTTTAATCATAAGCCTTGTTAGAGAGTGGCAAAACAATGCTGAATGAAATGGACAAGTGTTCAGGATAATTCTGTCAAAATTGAATAATTCTTTTCCAAATTTAAATAAATGAACCAGGTCACCCAACTTAACAAAACCAAACAAAACACCAATACTAGCAATTACTACAAGAATACACTGCAAAATGAACAGGAAAGATAAATCAATATGAATTCAAACCAAACAATACCATAAAATTACTTGGAAGATGAATCAAGTTTTGAAATGAATAAGCAAGTAAAAACAAACAAATAAACAAAATCATTAGAAAGTAAAATGAATGAATGAATTTGTAGAAAGGAGGAAATATTTAGTGAATGAGACAAAGTCATTGGCGATTGAACACAGTAATTTCTCTTATTAGAGAACATTGTGCTAATCTATTCAATGAAGTAGATAGATAGAGTAATTACTTCCGTAAAATCTCAGAATATAGCCTAGTATAGAACAAACTGGCTGACACAATAGAATTTTAATTTTTGGTTATGACGCAAAGAAAATGTTGAAAACGCATCTAAAAAGTGCATCATTAATTCCTTCATCTATTAAATTCATCAATCTTCTCTTATAAGATCTTTATAATAAAGACTAATGACTGTTACAAAACTAGAGAACAGCAACTCCACCGAGTAGCAAATCCCAATGAACGACAATATATTGTTTCTAAAACATTAAAAAGTATATATAGCTATAAATTGTTCACAAGAAAATTCAATATAAAAAAAGACTGAAAATATCAAGCATTTCGTCTATCAAGCATTTCATTCATTGTCAAGCAATAGATCTAAGATATCTCAAATGAATGAAAATAAGCAATTTTCAAGCCGCAATACACAACCCTTGGGATTGGTCTTAAAACTCGCATGATTCAATTAAAAGAATTTTCTTGAATGTGAACATTGTCAGTCTTTGCAATTTACTCTTTTTGTATAAATGAATACATACAAGGAGCACAAGCATCACAAAGTTACAACCTTGGGTTATGGTACCCATGCTCAAGACCTCTCGGCCAACTCGACAAGCCCAAAAAGGGTTGTTTTTTAGTCAATCTGACTTAAAGGCAGCTGACGTTGTTCAACTGTCCTTAAGAAAGACATTTATTGTAAGATTTCCACAAATTTCCAAAGGGAAATAAATATTGAATAGATATATTTTATGTATATCGGGTGAGCATAAAATGGGCCATACTTTGACACTCGATATCTCCGGAATTCTTTTACACCTGCTTCTTAAAATTTACACACTCAAAGATGACATTAAGTGCTTAAAATACAGACCAAATATCAGCTTTATCCTCTTAAGTATACTTTCAAAATACATGCAGTAATACTCACTATTTTTCATAAAATACCTAAGATTTTTGAAGTGGTGGTCATTTTACAAGAATTTATTCTTGCATTCACCTATACTATATATTGAACATGTTTCCATCAAATATAAAGAAAATCAGTCCACTTGAATTTGATTTACCATCCAGACAGATTGACAGATGATAAGGGCTTCACTAATACTCTGAACTTTATTCACTGGGATAATTAAGCATATTTGTTTGATTTAGGAACAAATCAGAAACAAATGAGTTGTATTATTTGTATATGTCTTATATCAAGGAAGAACAGTCCAAAAGCATTATACAGTAAAACTTCTTCTTCCCCAATCAAATTATTGACCTATTTCAAAAATAAGATCAAGATGACATGAACCCTAGTGGTGTCAACCAGAGTGACAAACCCAGAAATATGTTTATGTTTTAATATTAAAGGGCACTAAAAACATTAATCTAGCTGACTATTTTGAAGCGAGATATTTTGAACAGAAAAGGGAACACAGAGATTTAACCAATATAAATTATGTAACATTTTGAAAGGTTTCACTACAAATGCGATACAAATCATCATGATAAACTGTGGCATATCCTTCCTTCTTTATGAAGTAAGGAAGATGAGATGAGTGTCAAAATAGATAACAAAATTAACATAGTTCTTAGACCAAGTTGACATAGATCTCTTGAAAATGTAGAGTTTTAAACACGCAACAAAACTAGTTCACATTGTAAACAAATATAGGAATATTAGGCCAATGGATTAAATTCATTGTTTCTTGCACGATTTGCCACATTTTCAAAACAGACAAAGGATTATGTAAATTTGGTCAATCTCTAGGAATTAGTCCTGGAAATTGGTAGCTTGCCCTCAAAAGTTTCATTTAGTGCACCAGGAGTAATGGATTACCTTTTAATACCTAGACATTTATTTCTTAACTTGAAGAATTTAAGTAAATCCTCATCCAATATAATCTAAACAGCAGTAAGATCTTGTTCACTCAAGCCTCCCCAGATCATGCATGCAAGGTTGCATAAATGATGTTAATATGTTGTTATTCTTCCTGCTTGACTAATACATGTACTTTTTTATTTTGACTTAATGAAACAATGAATTCAATTCAAATGGCCTTATATTGTAAAAATAAAGTTATATTCTAAAAATACTCTAATGAAACTAGTAAACAACTCAGTACAACGTCTACATGACAACATGGCTTACAAACAGAGCTAAAAATAATATATACATTATAAACAAGCTGTGAATGTTAATAAAGTGGCACTGTTCATCCATTACATAACATTCTCAGTTTCAGAGAGCAAGTTTGTCATGTAATGGGAATTAGATAATGATTGAAGGCAGATATGAAGAATTTGACTCACAGTATCAACTCTGGCGATAAAAAAAAGTATTTTATCCAATCACTCATCATTTAGAATATTTTTCATTACAAAAATAACAAAGCAGTAGTTTTGTCTCCTTTTTGCAAAATTTATACCCATCCATGATTTAACAGCCTGGCAACGGTAATGTTATAGAAATTCCTTTTTGACTCAAGGTCACATACCCAAGAAGCATCAGCCTAAAAAATTAGAACCAAATTTGATATCTGGTATTTGAGTTCTCATAAATTATACTTCTCAACACAAATAGAACTCACAGTCTGTGTTTATGATGATTAAGGGATAATGTCAATATATTGCTGAATACCAACAAATGTATCTACTTATGTTTGGGGAGGGGGTAAAACTGCATTATATTCTGCAAAGGTGTATTGATTTTTATTTTGATAAATAATCAATAAATTCTAAATAAATAAAATTATTAAGGGGGTGAGGTCAATTTGAAATGTGATTTATTGGACTTTATGGGACAAGATAAACATATTGACCCAAGTCCCTTCTTAGATAAATGTTGGTACCACAGAAGAGTCTGATAATTACTACTAAAGATTAGTTCATATACATATATATTAAGAAAATACAATCCCTTTGTTGAAATAACAATGACAAAACATAGCAAACTTACCATTAACCAATTCTGTTGAACAAACATTCTAATCCGGTACAGAAACCACATACTTGATTCAGGCACTTGATCTATTGAGTCAATGGGATTATAACAGGTGTATTTTAGACTATATCATGTAACTGGTTCAATATCTTCTACAAATGACATCTCCAAAATATTTGAACAAAATTTCTGAGTCAGTTATTGTAAATGTTTATCCAAAAAAATAATTAATTTTTCTACAATGCCTAAATAATCAGAAAGATAATTTTAAATAAAGGAACTAGAAGAACTAGAATAATATTACAACATTTCTTTGCTCTCACTATTCCATGCATCCTCCTAAGCAGGTGTCCAGAATCCGTACCTCCTTCTTCCCCCTGCTAAAACCAATTTTGAAGCGCCCGATTAAACTGAATCATGTGATCTTATTATGCGCCGATGACGTGCACACGATTGCTGTCGCATTGTTGCGACAGCGAATCAAATTGCGAGTTCTCAATCGGGGAAATGCTAACTGCTTATCGTAGGGGGTAAAAAAGAAGATATTCTGGATTTTGAAGCCCTGTGATCGGAGGATGTATTCCATGTCAAACCTACATTCACCATTTCAGGAAAATCCCTCAATTTTGAGGTTATCAGGAAAAATGGAAAAGGGAATTATCCATTTTTCAATTCTTATGAATTAACATTTCTGCATTTTAAATTGTTAAAAACTTTTATGTTTGATCAGAAACTTTAATTTGTTTTTCAGAAAATGAAAAAATGTTTATAAGGGAAATTTTGGTATGTTTTCCAAGGATTGCTTCCAACATGCTACCCTCTCTATCTCTTCTTCTTCCTTTAAATCAAACATTTAAAATTACACAACAGTAACATCCTGAACCACCAGTGTATATGCTATCATAT